TTTTTCCCTTCTGTCCCTTCTTTTTTTTCCTTTTCTTTTTCGTCTTGGCAAAAGGAAAATAGAGCACGTGGTTCTTTTTTCGTTCACAAAAACAAAAAAATAAAACAAAATCTTTCTCCCGATCAGTTTGCGTTATTTTTATCGGGTGTACTATTCCTTTTTTGAAGTTTTTAAATAAATTTGACATTTTTGGAGATAAAAGGATCGAAATCCAAAATGATTTTGTCCTGAGAGGCATTGAATCCTAGCCTCTGAGGGCTGAGGACCACAAGCAACCAAGCATCTAACCGACTGCGCCACACTGTAAACCTTTTGCCCCCAAAAAGAAACCCCTTTTTGGCTCGAGTTCCCTGCCAAAAATTTTGGGACATAAAAGGATCGAAATCCAAAACGATTTTGTCCGGACCGGGATCGAACCCTAGCTTTCGTCGGATGAGCAGAGCGAGCAGCCACGTGCCTAACCGACTGCGCCACTCTGCAGAACGTCTTTGGCCCAAAAGAAACCCTTTTGACTCGAGTTCCCTACCAAATCAATTGTAAGTCAAAATTCTTCTCTTTTCTCTCAAAATCACCTTGATTTAAAGATTTTTAGCCATTTTTTTTGAGCCAAAACCTTTCAAAAGTGAGAAAATTTGACTAGAAATCCTATTTCTGTCAAAAAAATCGTAACTTTCTTGTAATCGTAACCCACTTGGCACACAAAAAACCCCAGCTTTTCCTTCAGTTACCCAAATTTGGCCGGCTTATATACCCAATTACACAAAGTTACGGTCAAATTCGGCCTGAAATTGCAAGTTTATCGCTTCTGAATTGAATCCTTTACACAATCTGACCAAAATAGCGCTTTCTCCGGTTCAGTTACGCAATTTTTAAACCTAAATCTTTTAAAGCTTTCAAATCTTTCAGATTTCATCGGTTTTTGATCGAATTTTGCTTAAAAAAATCAGCAATTATCAAGAAAAAGCCTCCAAATTTCTCAAAAATCGCGAATTCTTGATGTTTCTTCTTTGAAATCGACGTCATTCAACAATTTTATCAAAATCGTAACTTTCTTGTAATCGTAACCCACTTGGCACACAAAAAAACCTTAGCTTTTCCTTCAGTTACCCAAATTTGGCCGGCTTATATACCTAATTTCACAAAATTACGGTCAAATTCGGTCTGAAACTGCAAGTTTATTGCTTTTGAATTGAATCCTTTACACAATGTGACTAAAATTAGCGCTTTCCCCGGTTCAGTTACGCAATTTTTGAACAGAAATCTTTTAAAGCTTTTACCTCTTTCAGATTTCATCGGTTTTTGATCGAATTTTGCTAAAAAAAATCAGCAAATATCCAATGAAATGCTCCAAATTTCTCAAAAATCGCGAATTCTTGATGTTTCTTCTTTGAAATCGACGTCATTCAACAAATTTTCCGATAAATTTCCGTTGAAAACGCTCGGAAAATGACTGGGTAATTTCCTGGGCCTCGTTTTGTTTGATTTTTCTCAATTTTCTCCATTTTTCCCCCTTTTTTTCCCCGGGATTTTATGTGTCTTCGGGCCGTAAATTAGCAGCATTTCATTTTTCGATTCTCATTTTTGACTAACTGAGCTTTTCAAGGGGGATTTTCTGGAAATTTCCCTGGATTGAGTAAATGAACCGACTTCAGTGACTTCAGCTCTATCTTAATTTGCCAGAAAAGTTTCCCTATACGTTTTTTCTCCTCTAACCATTCCCTCACCATCACATTTTCCAAGAGATCACTATTAAACGGACTCTTTTTCTTAACGGACTCTTTTTCTTAACGGACTCTTTTTTTAAACGGACTCTTCAGAAGCTGTTGTCAAGAAGCTCAAATGAAGCTCAAATGAAGTTGCGTAACTAAACCGAAGTAATTTCAATCGAATTTTATCGAATTTTATCGAATTTTATCGAATTTCTATCAGATCAGCGGTCAAAAACGAGTAAAAACGAGCAAAACCAAGCCAAAAACAAGCAAAAACAAGCCAAAAACTCTCCATTTCTCGTTTTAAATCCGAAAGAAATGATTCAAAAATGCCAATTTCCAAGTCACAATAAAATCAATCGTCTAAATCGTCAAAAAATCGTCAAAATCGTTATTTTGCATTTTTTCGATTTCTTTTTTCTTTCGGGAATCGTTCTCGGGAATCGTTCTGATTTTTATCGCTCAGCTGACTCGTATTTGTCGCCTTTTTTCCTTTTTTCCTTTTTTTGGAGTCAAAAAATTTCGTCGTTTCTTTTTTAAAGGGAGAAATTGATATGGGAATCGTTTGTTTCCTTCCAGTTTTGCTCAATTTTCCCGATTTTTGGCCCAGTTTTGCCGAGTTTTACCCGGTTTTACCCGGCTTTACCCAGTTTTGATCCGGTTTTACCCCGGTTTTGGCCCAGTTTTACCCAGTTTTACTTAGTTTTACCCGGTTTTATCCGGTTTTACCCCAATTTCAGCTAGTTTTGGCCCAGCTTTACCCATTTTTACTCAGTTTCGCCCCAATTTCAGCTGGCTTTGGCCCAGTTTTACTCATTTTTACCCGGCTTTACCCGGTTTTACCCATTTTTACTCAGTTTCACCCGCAATTTCAGCCAGTTTTGGCCCAGTTTTACCCCATTTTTACCCGGCTTTACCCGGTTTTACCCCATTTTTGGCCCAGTTTTGCCGCGTTTTACCCGGTTTTACCCGGTTTTACCTGGTTTTACCCCGTTTTACCCGATTTTAACTCAGTTTTACCCCATTTTTACCCAGTTTTCGCCCAGTTTTACCCCATTTTTGCCCAGTTTTACCCGGTTTTACTCGATTTTACCGAGTTTTACTCGATTTTACCCAGTTTTACCCAGTTTTGGCTCAGTTTTACTCCGTTTTGGACCAGTTTTGGCCCAGTTTTACCCCAATTGCACCCAGTTTTGGCCCCCAGTTTTACTTCCCGTTTTACCCGGTCTTGGCTTCAAAAAATTGATTTGATTGTTTGTTTTCCGAATCTTTCTGCCTAGCTGGTGTTTTTAAGCTGGTGTTTTCGACGTATTTTTGAGCAAATTTGGTAACGAAAACGAGCCATCGTCGATTCGATCGAAAATTCAGTGAATTCAGTGAATTTCGTCAATTCAGTGAACGTTTTTTCAGCAATTTCTCACTCAATTGTGTCTATTGTTTAGCCGAAACGAAAACCTTTCCAAAAAAATTAAAAAAAAATCAGTTTTGAAAAAGCTCATTGTTTAAACGCAAAATAAAACGATTTTTGAGAAAAATCTCTTTTTTTAAACGATTTTTCTAAAGCAAAAAGATTCTCTGTTTTCCTTCTTCCTTTCTTTCTTTCTTCCTTTCTTTCTTCTTCTCTTCTTTCCCTTATCTTCGTTCTTTCTTTCTTTCTTTCTTTCTTTCTTCTTCTTCCTTGTCATTCCTTCTTTATCGAGAAAGAGAAGAATGAGAAATTTGTTTTTGCAAAGATTTAGATTTAGCAATGTTTTTGCAAAGATTCACTCCAAAAACCCTAGCACTTTCTCGGCGCCAGATGATCCAGATTTAAGTCAAAAATTGAAATTCCAGGCCTAAAATCCGTCTAAATTGGGGTAAATGAACGAAAAAAACTACAGAAACAGAAACAACAGAAAACAGAATGCTTTCCAGAAAAAGAAAACAACTTTTCTCATCAAGGAAATCCCTCAAAATCCGTCTTTTCTTTCACCTTTCTACCCATCTCTTTCTATCAATTAAAATATTTTTCTGGAGGGTTTTGATTTAGGGTTTGATTTGGGTTTGATTTCGGTTTGATTTGGGTTTGGTTTGGGTTTGATTTCAGAAGATTTCTTTTGTTAAATCCATCAATTAAATCCATCCATCATTAAAGCTGAAATAGTTTTTAAAGAGAAAAGATCCAAATTGATCATTTTGACTAAAGAACTAGGTTCTATATCAGCTCAAAATTGTTGAAATAAACTCAATTGAAAACATTTGAGAAAGATTGAGAAAAGATGAAGTAAAGTTCTATCCATTTCTATCCTTTTTCTTCCATTTTTCTTTTCTCCATCGCTCTCGATTTTCTCAATTCTTAGGTCCATTTCTGAATGAAAAAAGGAATCGAACGGGTGTCCTGAAACCGATTCTGGCAATTTATCCACCCCTTTTCCTTCTTTCTTCTTCTTTTATCTTCCTTTTTACTTCTCTTTTCTTCCTTTTTACTTCTCTTTTCTTCCTTTTTACTTCTCTTTTCTTCCTTTTTACTTCTCTTTTCTTCCTTTTTACTTCTCTTTTCTTCCTTTTCCTTCTTTCTATCTCCTTTTTATCTCCTTTCTCTTCTTTTTATCTCCTTTCTCTTCATTCCTCACTTTTCTTCATCTTTTCTCCTTTCAGAATCTTTCTCAAATGTTTTCAATTGAGTTTTTTTCAACAAATTTGAGCTGATAGAACCCAGTTCTTTAGTCAAAAATGATCAATTTGGATCTTTTCTCTTTCAAAACTCTTTGAGCTTTAAAAATTGATGGATTTAACCAAAGAAATCTTCTCGAATAAAAGCCAAATCAAAGCCAAATCAAACCCAAATCAGAGCTCTCTAGAAAAATCTTTTAATGGATAGAAAGAGATGGGTAGAAAGGTGAAAGAAAAGACGGATTTTGAGGGATATCCTTGATTCTCTAGACAAATCTTTTCAAATTCTGTAAAAGCGTAATAGTTTTAGCTAAAAATTTGACTCCATTTGACTCTTTTTTTACTTTGAAATTACCCTAGACTGTAGAAATTACTCTAGAGTTAAAAAAATTTGAGAATTTCTTGACTCTGTCCTTTGAAAATGTTGAAATTTTGCGGAAAATACGAAGCTTTTTCTTTGAATTGCTTTGTTGAAAGGAAATTTGAAGAAGATTTTAAGATTTTAAGATTTTAAGCGATTTTTTGATGTTCTTTCCTTTGTATTTCTCTGTCAACGTCTTGTCACTTCAATTTTTAGCAAAATTTTACTTTGATTTCATCAAAAAAGCTTCTTATATTTTAATTTATCCATTTTTTCAGTCACTTTTCTCTACTCTTTCGCCCCAATTGCACTCACAGGGCTTGGAGGCGGACGTGCAAATAACGACGAATTTCGAAAATAAGGTAAACTTGTTTGGAAAGGGAAAACAAATGGATTTAAATGAAATCGCGTCAAGATTTTTTGTTTAAAGGACTACTTTTGGCAGCTATTTGTTGTTCAAAGGACTAGTTTTGGCAGCTATTTGTTGTTTAAAAGACTACTTTTGGCAACTATTTGTTGTTTAAAGGACTACTTTTTGCAACCATTTGCTTGTTTTTTGCAAAATTGTCAGTTTGGAGAAAAAAGATAGAAATTGGTGGTGAAAGGAATCGAACCAGGGTCCTCGGAGGCTAGCCCCTTCCCTGGAAACCCAATCGCTAACCAATTGCGCCAAGCGGTGACACGCTGGCAGTCGCTTTTTCTTTGATTTAAAAAGCGAACATGCAAAAAAGACGAATCTCGAAGAAAAGGCAATCACAAATCAACTTAACTCTCTTTAAAATCAACCAGATCAAGCACGTTGTAGTGTAATGGATAGCACAGTTGTTCACTAGGCGAAAGGTCGTGGGTTCGAGTCCCCCCGGTGCAAAATTTTCTGATTTTTGATTAGTTTCAAATCTTGAAAAGAAAAATAAGCTCATTTGGAGATTTTTCAATGTAAACACTTGCCTTCTGGTGTACAAATGAAGCAAATTCAAAAGCAAAAGCAATTTCTTAACCCCAAATAACAAATTCCTTTTTCGGTCAAAATCATTTCCCATAATGGGGAATGGGCACGCGAGAGTGCGTTCTGATACTCAAGCGCACGATTTTTGGAAAGAAATTTTGCTGATCTCTTTCTAAAATAACAAAAAATAGGCTTTCATTCAATGAATTCACAAGAATTTACAAGAATTTCAATGAATTTCAATAATTTCCGCGATTTTCCAGCTCCACCAAGCCGGCGACCTCTCGGCGGCTCGGCTATCGAATCTCTCGGCGTTTGTCAATTTGAAAAGTTTGTTTCTCCGCTAACTTCGCTAACTTTTTTGCCGAATTTATCGAATTTCTCTAATTTCTCTAATTTATCATAGAATCATCAAATTCTTCATTTCAGATTCCACCCAAGCGTCTCCCACAATTTCATTCGACTCTCAAACTTTCCCGTTGTCGATCTCCGAATTGACCGGTGTTCCCTTCAAACAAATGCCCCCGAACGCTGGATCACCAGCGAATCGGTAGGTTTTAATCAAGATTTACTAGATAGAAAACAGAAGAGACATCTTTCTTTGCGCAAACGCGACGTTCCCGATTACGTTTGCTCTATCGCTTAAAAGGCAAAGTATTCCGGCTTTTGCGCGCGATATTTTGCTTCCGACGGTTTTCAGCTATGCGGAAGCTGACTTTTAGAGCTATTTTTAAAAAAGGGCGGGGCTTGAGACGGGTTACGGTAGTTTTAGTCATTAGTCGTTCCCCGCTTTGGCAGCGGAAAATGCGAACGAAATGAGAGTTTTCCATTGGTCTATTATATGAAAAAGCAGTGTCTGTCCGTCTGTCCGTCTGTCCGTCTACACGAGCCTTTTCTCAGCCATCTTTGAGCCAAAAAACTGAAGTTATTTAGAATATAATAGTTTTGCCATTTAAAATGAAAAACTAAAAGTTCGCGGCACCGCGGGGAGTCGAACCCCTGACCTGTGAGAGAAACACGGGGTGATAGACCCCTGCGCTCCCGACTGCGCCACGACGACGATGAGTATCCCCGGGCAAAAAAGCGAGAAAAACCGGCCGTGAAGAGCCAGAAAAACCAGAAAACTCGGGTTTTTGGCTTGTTCTGTCTAGTTTTTAATAACAAATTAATTTCCTGAAGTTTAGTCCCAGGATTTTCAGTTCCAGGATTTGCTTAGGTAGCCAGGTACAAGGCTAATTTTAAAGCTAATCCTTTGCAATCCCTTCTCCGTCTTATCAACATCAGCATTAGTATCCCTATCAGCATTCCTTTTTTGTAAAGTTCAAAAGCATTACTATCTTTTTATTGTCTAATTGGCTCAATTCCAGAGTTGAGTCCAGAGTCCTCAATCCCATTTTGGTGAAATTCATTAAAACAATCTTTCTGAAAACAGTGCAACTCCAATTTTAGAGCGGGAGGCGTTGCGACGGCGGCTCGACGCGGAATGACGTATACTGTTGTATCTCCTGGAGCTCCCGGAACTCCATTGGGTAAAAAATTTTGATGAAATTTGATGACATTTCATTTTCAGCCTCTTGAGACTATTTAAATGGGATTGTCAATTCCAGCCAGCTTTCCCCAGCTTTCCCCAGCTTTCCCCAGCTTTTAAAATCTCAAATCGTTCAGCTCTCCCACCAGCAACGAACATTGCCGCTGCTCAACAACCAAAAAATCCAAAATTGTATAAAACGGAGATGTGCCGTACGTGGATCGAGCAAGGACGGTGTAATTATGGAGATCGGTGAGCATAATGGATTGAAAAATAAGATTAGAGAAGATTGGCCATTGGCGATTGGGCCAAACTATTTGTACTGTCCCTGAGGTTGTGCTGGATTTGGAAAAGTTGAGAGAATTGGAGAATTTCTGATCAATTCCAGATGCCAATACGCACACGGTGAGCACGAGAAGCGCTACGTGCCCCGGCACCCAAAGTACAAAACGGAGATGTGTCAATCGTTTCACAAGACCGGCTATTGCCCATACGGACATCGGTGTCACTTCATTCATAGGTGAGTGGGGAGGATTTTTGAGTTGATCAGTTAAATAGACATTGTACATCGTACATTGTAGGTCGTACACTGTACATTGTACATTTACGGCCGTTTGAGCCATTTACAGCCATGAAAGTTGAAAGTGCATCAAATGGAACTTATAAATTCAGTTATTTCAAGTTATATCAAAAAAATCATCAAAAAATAAACGTTAAATAATCGTCATATTGTCGTGAATGTGTTAAGAATATAAAAGACTTACAAATTTCGATTTCAGTGAGTCCGAAGTCCATCAATATCAACGCGAAAAGGAGACAGCTCTCCGAGCAGCGCTAAGCCCGTTGACGCCTGGTTTGGCCTCGTTGCCACTCGCACCGCCATCACAGCTGATTGGACAGGTGATTCGAAATTTCTACTAAGGCCTTACCCTCTTTAAGCCTATTAGATCGCTTAGAATCAAAGAATCAATATCAATATCAATATCAATCAATATCTATTCCTCTTCCTCTATTCCTCTTCCTCTATTTCTCTTCCTCCATTCCTCTTCCTCTATTCCTCTTCCTCTTTTCCTCTTCCCCTTCCTCCATTCATCAAAGCTTTCAGTCTCTTCTCCAATCCTCTCAACAATCCTCAATTCGCGTTCCGCAAGCAATCGGTGCCGGTTATGGATCGGCTGGTGAAAGTCCGTCAAGCTCGAGTGCTGACAGTGGATCCGAGAGTCCGGCCGGCTCGTTCTCACCCGGTTTAGACCTAGATGAGGCTTGTCTATCGCCATTGGCAGCTGTTTTTGGTGAGTTTTCCAAATCAAGTTGATAAGGGTAGACATAAAGCTTGCTGAAGGGCTCGTAACATCAAATTGATAACATCAAATTGATATAATTTCAGGCTTATCCCAACCAGGATCGACTCAACGAAGCCTCTCCTCGTCTTATGCCGCGTACATGAGCTCGATTTTGCCGAAACTCGGCTCAACGACCATCAACACACAGCGCTTTGTGCCCGGTCATGGCGGATTCACAGACACGTTTCCCGGGTGAGTGGAAAGTTAAGATAAACAACAAAATAGTTTAAAGTCATAGTTTAGGAAAGATAACCTAGCTTAGACAAGATAACTCCCAGTTTTCTCCGAATTTTTCTCATAAGTACAGTTTTTCTTGTTTGAACCAAAACAAAGGATCAAATTGATATTTGATTAAAGCAAAAGAAACGTCAAGGACCAGTCTTGAGTCTGGAGACAATTTGATGAGCAAATTGGGATCAATTCCAATCCTGGCCTTAACTGGAGTCAACTCTTTATATTGCCACCTTTAGCTACTGTCTAGGATCCACAAGTAGCGATACTTCTAGAGCTACAATACAAACAAGTTCAACGACAAAGACTGTACATTGTGTTCATAACAGTGCCACATATTAGATTTGTAACGAAAACATCTGTCATGTCTTTTTTTGTGTGCATTTAAAGTTTTTCGTGTTTTTCTCAGCACCAACCCGTTGATTTTGACTATTTTGACGATCAACCGATGAAGAATAGAATTGCGCGTCGAATGATGCCAAATACAACTCAAAATGTAATATCCATGCAAAGTTATGAGGCAAAAGGTTAACTCCCATCCATAATGGGCGTTGTTTAGGCTTTTAGCCAACAACGTTGCGTGGCTATTACATTTTAAGTTGATTTTGACTATCATTCGACGCGTAATTTTATTCTGCATCGAATGATAATCAAAATCAACTCAAAATGTAATATCCATGTCAAGTTATGAGGCAAAAGGTTAAGTCCCGCCCATAATAGGCAGGTTTAGGATTTTAGCCAATAACTTTGCATGGATATTACATTTTGAGTTGATTTTGACTATCATTCGATGCAGAATAAAATTGTGCGTCGAATGATACAAAAATTAACTCAAAATATAATATCCATGCAAAGTTATGAGGCAAAAGGTTAAGTCCCGCCCATAATAGGCGTTGTTTAGGTTTTTAGCCAACAACTTTGCGTGGCTATTACATTTTAAGTTGATTTTGACTATCATTCGATGCAGAATAAAATTGTGCGTCGAATGATAGTCAAAATCAACTCAAAATATAATATCCATGCAAAGTTATTGGCTAAAAACCTAAACCTGCCTATTATGGACGGGAGTTAATCTTTTGCCTCATAACTTTGCATAGATATTACATTTTGAGTTGTATTTGGCATCTTTCGACGCGCAATTCTATTCTTCATCGGTTGATCGTCAAAATAGTCACAATCAACGGGTTGGTGCTGAGAAAAACACGAAAAACTTTAAATTGCCGGGAAAAAAGAACCGACAGATGTTTTCGTTACAAGTCTAGTCTGGATTAGATTTAGGGCCTCTTTAGCTAGGCCTGGACCTAGTCTAACTTCTTCTGGCGGCCTTGGACTTGCACTGAGTTTAAGCCTTTGCTAGCCGGACCCTACTGGAACCTGAACTGACTTGGCTTAGAAAAGAACTGAGCTGGCTTCGTGTTCTGACCCAATTCTGGTCTAGGGTTGATCAAAAAAACCCCTATACAGATCAAATTGTTGTTGTAAATGTTATACTTAATGTAAGGAGTTTAAAATCTTTAAACATTGAAAGCAAACTATCTAATTATCAAATTTCAGCGCCAGCCCCACATCGACCTCTTCCTCATCAACGACAACGGCAAAACCGTCGGACGAGGAAAACAGTCAAATGGGTGCTTTCCTTGAAGACATTGTCGCGTGGTCAGTGGACGATGGAAGACCCGAGAAACCGGGCAGATTACCCGTTTTCGCTCAATTGAGCAATCCTCAATAAGGTCTAGGATATCCCTTTCGAAATCCCGGTTCATATCGCTTGTCACGCTTTATTTTGCACATTGCTCGTTGGATCGGGTATCGTTGAAGTAATGAGAATTTGCATAAGAACGACCTATAGCTAGCTAGAACTACCTATCTACAATAATCTACAGTAATCTACAGTAATCTACAATAATCTACAATAAGCTACAGTAATTTGCGGTGAAATTTGCTTAAAAGCTACAGTAGATTTGTTGGGATGAGTAGTAGATAGTAGACAATGAATATTAAGTCGGTAAATTTGCGCTCTTCTGGAAATTTGCATAAAGCATAAAGACTACAGTTTTATTTAGCTAATAAAGCTAATGTTAGAGCCACAGTAAGCTCAAGATTGCGGTAAATGATTAAATTTGAATAAAAGATTACAATAATCAGTGTTTTTCAGCTAAAAGGCTAGTTGAAGTCGGAAACAAAATTTGAATAAAAGCTTTTTCTCGAGTCAGCACACTTTAACAAACAGTTTCTTTGAGTTTCAGACCGGTCGACAGTCTAGATCGAACAAAAATTACCTCAGATCGGTCTGAAATGCTTAGAAATCCCATAAAACAGCTAAAAACGATGTTTCCCTGAGTTTCAGACCGATCGACAGTCTAGATCGATAGTCTAGATCGATAGTCTAGATCGATAGTCTAGATCGATAGTCTAGATCTAGTCTAGATCCAGTCTAGATCGACAGTCTAGATCCAGTCTAGATCCCGTCTAGATCCCGTCTAGAAGTTGACTGGCACCGCTCAGTCATAGTAATCACTGTGACTGACTTAGTGCCCAACTTTGAGTCCGAATTCCTCGTTGATTCCCCGAACTTTTCCCACATCTCAATGGTATCAAAAGATGCGTAAAAAAATCAGCTATCTTTTTAGCTTAAAATAGTTAAAAAGTCTCTCAATTCGACGTCAGAAAGAGGTCGAAAGATGAATCGTGACCAAGAAAAGCTTACCATTCACGGAAATTCGTCTTTCGACCTCTTTTCGACGTCGAATTCGACCTCTTTCTGACGTCGAAAGCTAGTGCTCCAGTAATCTGAGCAAATAATACCTCTTTATCCTTTCAAATTAGCATTTAAATTTAAAATTAACATTTAAAGTTAAAGATTACGGTACCCGATCCATTCACGATGAGATCCTGTAAATTTTGCACCATTTAGTGAATCGTTTAGTGAGTGTTTTGTGTTTTATTTTGTGTTTTTTGTGTTTTTTTCTCAAGTTTCTAGTTGCAGCTAGTGATTTTTCTTAGAGTTTTAGCAAGATTTGGCAAAAATTTGCTTAATTCTGATCCTTTTTCTGATTCTGATCGATTTTTGCCAACTCTTTCCCCAGGTTTTCCACAGAAAACAAAAAGAATAGCGCTTTCTACTAAAGGAAACAATAAAATTTATCCATTTTTCTTCAGGTTTCTTTTCATTTTTTTGATTTTTTTTTGATTTTTTGGATTTTTTTCATGTTTTTCATGTTTTTTTATGTTTTTTCATTGTTTTCTATGTTTTTTCAATGATTTCTATGTTTTATATGAGTTTTTCTCGATTTCTGCCCGAAAAATAAGTACACTATATCAGCTAATAAAAGCACATCAAATAAGAAAACTTTCCGTTTTGTCTTTTTTTTGTTTCTTTCTTTTTTTTGTTTCTTTTTGTTTCTTTCTTTTCTCTGTGCCTCTTCAGCTTTTCCCCTAAATAATCAGCAAGATTTTCAGTGCCTTTTAGAAGAAGTCTAGTATTCTTTTTAAAGATTTGTAAAAATTGCATAAACTTAGCTTACCTTTAGCTTTTTTTTGTATAGTTGTATTAGAGAAAAACAAAGAAAACTTCTGGCGAAAAGTGGACTCGAAATTTTGTCTTCGAATTGGTACCAAAATCTTTTGGAACCAAATCGAACTGGTACCCAAATCTTAACTCAAATCAACTGCGCCACGAAGTTTTCATCTATAGTTAAATCGATTTTTTTCTCATTTTCACAGTCTTTTCTTGTTATTTTGTAAGTTATTTACTCTTTCTCTTTGCAAATCTCTATCTATTTCATGTTTTTGTAACTTTCATAACTTATTTAAATAGAATTATGTAAAAATCGTTGTTCAAAGGACGACTTTAAGCAACTGTTTAACTTTAAACAACTATTGACGACTTTAAACAACTATTTACGACTTTAAACAAATATTTTTTGTAAAAGTTTTGGTTTGGTGGCAAAAAGGTAGTAAAAGGGATTGAACCAAGGTTCTGGAGGACCGAGCCTTGCCTGGAAACCTAGCCTTCCCTGAAAACCTAGCCTTCCCTGGAAACCTAGCCTTTCCTGGAAACCTAGCCTTGTCTGGAAACCTAGCCTTGTCTGGAAACCTAGCCTTCCTGGAAACCTAGCTGCTAACCGATTGCACCAAACCGAGACCAGTAAATCGTTGTTTAAAGGACGACTTTGAGCAACTGTTTACTTGCTTTTTGTAAAAGTTTTGGTTTGATGGCAAAAAGGTAGTAAAAGCGATTGAACCAGGGTCCTGGAGGACAGAGCCTTGCCTGGAAACCTAGCTGCTAACCTAGGCCTTGCCTGGAAACCTAGCTGCTAACCTAGCTGCTAACCTAGGCCTTGCCTGGAAACCTAGCTGCTAACCGATTGCGCTAAACCGAGACCAGTTAATCGTTGTTTAAAGAACGACTTTGAGCAACTATTTCCGACTTTAAGCAACTATTTTTTGTAAAAGTTTCGGTTTGATGGCAAAAGCTAGTGAAAGGGATTGAACCAGGCTCCTCAAAGACCTAGCCTTGCCTGGAAACCCAACCACTAACCGATTGCGCCAAACCGACACCCCTTCCCACCTCTTTTTCTTTAATAAACTGCCGGTGCCTCTTCGTTTTTCCTTTTTTTGATAATGCATTTTTGTATTACTCTTTTTATCAGTTCACTCTTCACATCAAATCCCAGTGCTAAACAAAGAAAAATGCTTACTGTATATCACAATGCTATCCAACAATCTAAATCTTCTTTTAAAAGCGAATAACCCGTCCCACTTTCAGCACACATTCATAACTTATTAAATAATAATCAACAAATCTTCTATATCTAATAAATATTACTTTTTTTTCTTTCTTTTTCACATCCGAATAAATATTTTCATTTATAAAATATTGCTTTTGATGGAAAATTGCAGAACAGAAGAAAAAAAGATGCAAAGATCAACAATTAAAAGGACAGAGTGGCGCACAATTACTCGCACAATTATCCGCACGTTCAGATTCTCCGGCTTAGCAAAGAGTTAATCAATCATTGATCTAGTTAATCAACCATTGATCTTTGCCATTGATCTAGTCAAACAATCATTGATCTTTGTTATTGATCTAGCCAATCAACCATTGATCTTTGCCATTGATCTAGCCAATCAATCATTGATCTTTGTTATTGATCTAGTCAATCAATCGTTAATCTTTGTCATTGATCTAGTCAATCAATCATTGATCTAGTCGAAACTTTCAAAATTCTGCGTTGCATACAGATTAGCCCATCTTTGTTGATTTTTAACCCGAGGTCAGAATTGTTAAAAATCAAGTCAAACTAGAATCAGACTAGATTCAGGCTAAACCAAACAGCTTTTTGATCAGCTAACCAGCGAAGCTGAGCAAATGCCATTCGACCCATACCATTCGACGCAGAATTTGATGCTGATTCCGTCTCCTTCTGCGTCATTTTGCTTGATGAACAGCCTCGCAACGTAGACGTTGCTTTTGCCGCGTGAAGTTGCGGTTCTGGTTGTTAATGTTGCGTTCATAGTTCGGCTCATGTGTTCCAGGCGCGCATTTGCAATGTTGTCACTGCTAAATGACAAGCTGCCAGGAGTTATAAGCGTCTAAAGCGTCTAAAGTCTAAAGCATCTAATGAATTCGGTTTCTAAAATCGTAATCTTTTCTCTATTTTTTGTGCAATTCATTTGAGAATTCAGAAAAGCGATCAAAAGATACGAAAAGTATAAGAAAAGAGACAAGATTACGGTAGAAAGAGCTTTAGAGAGAAAGAGGGAACACTTTAGAAAAACAGATGAGTTAAGATGAACTGCTCTTTGCCCCATTCAAGTTCACGAAAGATTACCGATTGTCCAAAGCACTCATTTCTCAAAAAACTCAAGCAAACTATTGGGTACTCAAAAGTGACCTGCCAAACGCTTCAAAGACACTCAGAACACTCAAAATCCAGGACTCTCTCATCACTAAAAAAGAGAAATGACAAAATCCAGAGTTTAACTGAAAGTTTTAACAAAGATCAACTGACTGAGCCAGCCAAATAGCCAGATAAGATTAATTTGGCCTGGTTTGGGGCCATGGGATCTGTTAAATAGTAAAATTGGTAAAAATCAAGACAAACTTGAATCAGACTAGATTCAGGCTAAGCCAAACAGCTTTTTGATCAGCTAACAAGGGAAACTGATTGAGCTGGTCAAATCAACTGATTGAGTCAGCCAAATGCTATACGATCTACACCATTCGACGCAGAATTTGATGCTGATTCCGAATCTGTATTCGGTTTTTGCTAAATGACAAGCTGCCAGGATTTATAAGCGTCTAAAGTCTAAAGCGTCGAATGTCTAAAGTCTAAAGCGTCGAATGTCTAAAGTCTAAAGCGTCTAAAGTAAAGGTCTCCCTCTGAACTGATGAACAGTTGATGGCGATTGATCGGTAATCAAGGAGTAATCAGAACAAAGCCAAGCTGGAAATCAGTTCAGATTCCAGATAAAACCAGAGTCTAGATTCCTCAGGCCTGGAAGAAGTAGAGTTACCATAGATATAGTTATTTGGTTACTAATTCTTCCACCTAAATTCATTTTCTAATTGAATAAGTCTACAAAATGAAATACGGTTTTTTTTTCATTACATAACCCAAGCATTTCTCTTGCAAATCACTTTTGCAAGTTTTAACAAAGATCAACTGATTGAGCCAGCCAAATGCCATTCGACCTGTACCATTCGACGAAGAATTTTATGCTGAATCCGAAAATGTATTCCGTTTTTGCTAAATGATAATCTGCCAGGAGTTATAAGCGTCTAAAGTGTCTAAAGCGTCTAAAGCCTAAAGCGTTTAAAGGAAAAGCCTCCCTCTGAGCTCCATTCAAGTTCACGAAAGATCACCGATTGTCCAGTGCACTCATTTTCCCACATTTCTCAAAAAAACTCAAGCAAACTATATTATTAGGTACTCAAAAGTGACCTGCCAAACGCTTCAAAGACACTCAAAATCCAGGACTCTCTCATCACTAAAACGGAGAAACAAACGGAGAAATGACAAAATCCAGAGTCCAAAAAGACGTCAAATTGGAAAAGTTTTACTGTAAAAAGTTTGAACACTTTATTCAGTTTATGTCGCTTTTATATCACTGGCATTTATATAAACAAATTCTATTGAATTCCTTTGTCTATCGTTCTAGACTTTTCATTCTTTTCATTCTTTTCATGGCGGAAGCTTTGTGGCGCAAGATTCGCGGCTCAAGATTCGTGGCGGAAGCTTTGTGGCGGACGATTCGTGGCGGAAGATTCGTGGCGGAAGATTCGCGGCTCAAGATTCGTGGCGCAAGATTCGTGGCGCAAGATTCGTGGCGGAAGCTTTGTGGCACAAGCTTTGTGGCGCAAGCTTTGTGGCGCAAGATTCGTGGCGGAAGCTTTGTGGCGCAAAATCCAGAGTTCAAAAAGACGTCAAATTGGAAAAGTTTTACTGTAAAAAGTTTGAACACTTTATTCAGTTTATGTCGCTTTTATATCACTGGCATTTATATAAACAAATTCTATTGAATTCCTTTCTCTATCGTTCTAGACTTTTCATTCTTTGAGACAAGTAAAAAAAGCAAAAAAATCTTTATGCAAACATACAATGTTTGAGATGTTGTCGGAAAAAAATTCCTTGTTCCTTTGACGAACCTTGTAAAAATGTTGTGGCAAAGGAAGTGAAGGACAGAATGCGACAGATAAAACTTTTTGAACAGGCTTCTACAAATACAGACTGCTGCTAAAGCTAATTGTAAGCTCATTTAGGTAAACTGCCTAATTGTAAGGGATAATGCTTGTACATACAAGTTTTAGTTCTCTTTTTTCTTTCTTCCTTTCTCTTCCCCCTTGTATTTCCTCTTTCTTCTATGGAAAGAAGATGGCGATAGGTCAGTGGTTAGAACATCTGCCCCGAAACAAAAGGTTGAGGGTTCAATCCCCTCCAGAAATCCTTCTTTGCGATTCCTTACTTTACTTTATTAGTTAAATCGATTGGGACAAGGTTGGGACAAAGTTGGGTCGAGGTTGGAGCAAAGTTGAAGCAAGGTTGGGACAAGGTTGGGGCGAGGTTGGAGCAAAGTTAGGTCGAGGTTGAAGCAAAGTTAGGTCGAGGTTGGGGCCGGTTGGAGCAAAGTTGAAGCAAGGTTGGGACAAGGTTGAAGCAAAGTTAGGTCGAGGTTGAAGCAAAGTTTGAGCAAGGTTTGAGCAAGGTTGGAGCAAAGTTGGACCGAAGTTGGAGCAAAGTTGGACCAAAGTTGAACCGAGGTTTTTCCTTCATCAGTTTAATTCTAAAATATGGGAAAGTGTTTCAAAAAAGCTTCACAAGATTCGCTTGGAATAAAACTACCGTAGCCCAACTGTCTTCTCAATTTAAACCAATTTAAACCAATTTAAACCAATTTAAACCAATTTAAACCAATTTAAACCAATTTAAACCAATTTAAACCAATTTAAACCAATTTAAACCAATTTAAACCAATTTAAACCAATTTAAAACCAATTTAAACCAATTTAAAACCAATTTAAACCAATTTAAAACCAATTTAAACCAATTTAAACCAATTTAAACCAATTTAAACCAATTTAAACCAATTTAAACCAATTTAAACCAATTTAAACCAATTTAAACCAATTTAAACCAATTTAAACCAATTTAAACCAATTTAAACCAATTTAAACCAATTTAAACCAATTTAAACCAATTTAAACCAATTTAAACCAATTTAAACCAATTTAAACCAATTTAAACCAATTTAAAACCAATTTAAACCAATTTAAACCAATTTAAACCAATTTAAACCAATTTAAACCAATTTAAATCAATTTAAACCAATTTAAACCAATTTAAAACCAATTTAAACCAATTTAAACCAATTTAAACCAATTTAAACCAATTTAAACCAATTTAAACCAATTTAAACCAATTTAAAACCAATTTAAACCAATTTAAACCAATTTAAACCAATTTAAACCAATTTAAACCAATTTAAACCAATTTAAACCAATTTAAAACCAATTTAAACCAATTTAAACCAATTTAAACCAATTTAAACCAATTTAAACCAATTTAAACCAATTTAAACCAATTTAAACCAATTTAAACCAATTTAAACCAATTTAAACCAATTTAAACCAATTTAAACCAATTTAAACCAATTTAAACCAATTTAAACCAACTCTTTCTCGTTCCTCAGATCTTTTCCAGCAGCGAACACCTTTAAAGTGAAAAAAGCCAACTGAATTTGTTGATTTTTCCATTTTTTTCAGTACTTCTCTCAAATTTGCTAGTTTCCCCGATTTCTTGATCAACAAAACATTGCTCAAGTTCGTTTTTTTTTCCTTTTCAATCCGATCATTTCCCCATCTTTGATTGAATGGGGTGAGATATTTGCTCATAAAAACGCGTGTGTGCAATTCTTTGCCATTCTGCAATATTTTTTTCCTCAAGAATCTTTATTCAGTTTTTTTGACTACAAAATTTTGCAGATTTCATTTTGAACGCGATGAATAGAAGACTTTTGGCCACGTTTCTACTTCTACTTTCGATGATCTCGAATAGCCGGTGTGAAAGTGGGTTTTGTGAAAATTTTGAATTGAAATTTGGTATTTTAATATTGATTTTCGTTAACTAATTAGCAAAACTGTTTTGAATTGAAAACTGTTTTGAATATAAAATCCCTTTAGACGATTGGCCTTTGGCCCTTTGGCCAGAGTAAATTGATGTAAAGTTTACCTTAGCTTAGTTTAGCTTAGCTTAGTCTAGCTTTTAAAACTTCAGTTCAAAAGCTTTTTATTTATAGCCGGCTAGCTAGCTAGCTAGCTCTTTAAATTCTTTCTTTTCTTTCTATTTTTATCTTCTAGAACTTTTCTTCAAGCTTTGACTCTTGCTTTCTTGGAGAAAGCAATACCTGGAGTTATAGACCGTCAAAGTTGATCAACTTTTCCAAGTAGGTAGTCCAACTTTGACACAGATTTTCTCTATCTTTTTATACCTGAGTGTACCAAATAAATTCTACTTTTCTATAACGAAATTTCATGAGGATTCTATTAAAAGCACCCAAACGTCTATTCAGCTTCTATACCTCGAGTTATAGACCATCCCAGTTGATCAACTTTTCCAGGTAGGTAGCTCAACTTTGGCACAACTTTTCTCTATATTTTTATACATGAGTGTACAAAACAAATTCTGCTTTTTTATAATCAAATTTAATGAGGATCATTTTGAAACCAACCTTAAGTCGATCTGATTACTGGAAGTCGAGATATAGAGTAAAATAGAAGAGTCCCCAAACTCCGAGACTGGCCATGGAATTTGGAAGGTCAACTTTGACACAGATTTTCTCTATGTTCTTATACCTGAGTGTACCAAATAAATTCTACATTTCTATAACCAAATTTCATAAGGATCATTTTAAAATTAACTCCGAGTCGATCTGATTACTGGAAGTCGAGATATAGAGTAAAACAGAAGAGTCCCCAAACTCCGAGACTCGCCACGGAATCTGGAAGGTCAACTTTGAGACAAATTGCTTTCTTGGAAATTGCTTCCTTTAAGAAATTAAACTAAAATGACGATTTTTTTGATGTCAACTCAAGTTTTTACAAAGTTACAAAGTTACAAAGCTAGAAATCAGTTCAGATGCTAGATAAAACCAGAGTCTAATTAAAACCAGAGTCTAGTTAAAACCAGAGTCTAGTTAAAACACACACTTCAACATCTAAACTCTACTTTAAATTACATTTATTCACAGCCACACTTTCGTCTAAAGGGATTTCGAGTTTAAAGCAGATTTCAAGTTAATAGCTTGTCGATGATCCGTGTGAATAAATGCAATTTTTCCCTTATTCCATGAAATTCCTATCAGAATCTTGTCAAACTTGTGCTCCGTTGACCCCAGAGGAATGTCCATTGATCAATGAGTGCAATATTTGCACTGAAACCACCTTCACACGGAGACAAAATCGAAACGGTGAGCAATGGTTTGGTGAAAATTTGAAATTTGAAAATGAAAATAGAAACAAATTCAACGTTTAAAAGTTTTTCTTAGTCGGTTTTTCAGACGTTTTGAGTGAGTTATAAGTGCTTTGATATAGAAAATCTCCTTTTTTTTGGCCACCTTGCCTACCGTAAATACTTGAATAGTACCCCAGCCCCATAATGACGGTGCGAAGTGTTGCGTAGTCTAGCTTTGGACGAGTTTTTCTCGACACTGGTTTATGCTACAATGTGCGCTTAAATATCAAAAAATAGCCCTGAATTTCAGCTATTTTTGATATTTAAACGAGCATTGTAGCATAAATCAGTGTCGAGAAAAACTCGTTCAAAGTTAGACTACGCAACACTCCGCACCGTCATGATCTTTGGTATCAAAAAATAGCCCTGAATTTCAGCTATTTTTTGATACCAAAGACGCATTTTTTGAAAGTAAGGGGGCTTTGAAAAAAATGAAATACGAAAAAACTTATACGAAAAAATACGCGAATACGCGACTGTACGAGGGCGGGGCTATGGTACTATTACAGTATTTACGTAATTGTTTACGTATTTACGGTAATTGTTTAAAGCTACGGATGAAATTGAATAGTTTAAGATTCAATTTCGTTGTTCTTGCACCAGTAAAAGGTGAAAAAATCATTTTCCACCGCTTTCCAGGTTGTCAAGAAGTCACAATCTCGTGTGCATCAGGTTCTCGTGTCATTCTTGAGCTCTCGAATGGGCATTCAGTCTCGAGGAAGGCGGCAACACTTGGGTAGAATTGAGTTTAAAAGCTTTTTCACTAAGGAACGGTGAGATTTCACGAGTCCAGCTAGATGACTTACGCAAGTCGGACACGGGCAACATGATGGTGTTTTTAAATCTTGAATTCTTAATCTTGAATTCTTAATCCAGAATTCTTAATCTAGAATTCTTAATCTAGAATTCTTAATCTTGAAATCTTAACCTTGAAATCTTAATCTTCAATTCTTAATATTCAATTCTTAATCCTGAATTCCTAGACTTGAAATCTTAATCTTCAATTCTTAATCTCCAATTCTTAATCTTCAATTCTTAATCCTGAATTCTTAATCCTGAATTCTTAATCTCCAATTCTTAATCCTGAATTCTTAATCTTCAATTCTTAATCTTCAATTCTTAATCTAGAATTCTTAATCTAGAATTCTTAATCTAGAATTCCTAGACTTGAATTCTTAGGCTTGAATTCTAGACTTGAATTCCTAAACCTGAATTCCTAGACTTGAATTCCTAGGCTTGAATTCCTAGACTTGAATTCCTAAACCTGAATTCCTAGACTTGAATTCCTAGACTTGAAATCTTGAATGCCTAGTCTTGAATGCCTAGTCTTGAATTCCTAGACTCGAATTCTTAATCTTCAATTCCTAATCTTCAATTCTTAATCTTCAATCCTTAACCTTCAATTCCTAGACTTGAAATCTTGAATTCTTAGTCTTGAAATTTCACTGATACCATTTTAGTTCATTCTCGTGTCAAAGCAACGGTCGATGGCAGTTGAACGGGCTAAATTACACGGAAAAAAACGTGAAATCAGCATCTTGTTATACAGGTAAATCTTGAAATAATGATGAAAATGAAAAGAATTTAAAAGCCAATCAATGAATGCTTCGTTTTCAGCGTCACCCGATCGTCAAAACTCTCCAATCAATCTCGTCACCCAGCGAGCTATTCGGGATCTCGATTTAATCGATTTCAACGATCAACTACGCGCCCAATGATGGGGATTCGATTAGCTGGGTAAGAATGGAAAAAAGGTTGACCCAATATGCTAAAGTTTAGGGTGGCAATGCGACAACGTTCACTATTAAAAGTCGAGCACCGTACACGAACTCGAGTAGATTTTTGAGAGTTTTTGAGATTTGAGAGATTAAAGTTTCACTTTATCTTCAAAAAAAAGTGTCGTTTTGACTAATTAGGAAATGTTGTTAATTTATCGTGGCTTTTAACTCGGGAAATAGCCTATCTGATGCAGTTTTTCACTCTGATTCCGAATCTGCAATCAGTTTTTGCTAAACGCTTCTCTATCGCTAGATATTTGGCATACAAGTCTCTTTATGAGGGCGACGCACTGTCTTCAGTCTTTACGTCTTCACGTCTTCAATCAACGGCCTCGGTGGCTCCCAAAGACTTGTATGCCATAAATCTCGCGATAGAGAAGTGTTCGGATTGCTGATTCGGAATCAGCATTCGAATCAACTTCAAACTGATTGCCGATTCGGAATCAGAGTGAAAAACTGCATCAGGGCTATTCCCGAGCCAAAAGCCATGATAAGTTAATAACATTCCCTAGTAAGAAACGTTGCCTCTTTAGAGTTCTCAGCCACTCAAACAGACGGTGTCACGTATAATTTATATCAAGTGAGTTATTGAGATTGATTCAATGATGATAGTGACGAATGATGATACTAATGACCAAATGATGATCTACTGATGATATTAATGATACAGTGACGATATTAATGATGATACTGGTGATCTAATAATGGTACTAATGATCTAATGATGATATTAATGATGATACTGATAGTCTAATGATGATACTGATGATCTACTGATGATATTAATGATACAGTGACAATATTAATGATGATACTGATGATCTAATAATGGTCCTAAAGATATAAGGATGATCTAATGATGGTCTTAATGATGTTACTGATGGTCAAAGAATGATACTGATGATCTAGTAATGGTACAAATGATATAATGATGATCTAATGATGGTCTTAATGATGTTACTGATGGTCAAAGAATGATACTGATGATCTAGTAATGGTACAAATGATATAATGATGATCTAATGATGGTCTTAATGATGTTACTGATGATCAAAAGATGATACTGATGATCTAGTAATGGTATTAATGATCTAGTAATGGTACTAATGATCTAATGATGATATTAATGATGATACTGATAGTCTAATGATGATACCGATGATCTAACGAAATGCTAATGATCTATTGATAATCTACTGCTGACATTAATCATCTTTATCAGTTTAGTTAGAAAATCTTTAAAAGGTATTTGCTTGCTTGCTAAAAAGGTTCAAAATTGCTTTTCTGCTTTTCTCTAAAATCTCCACCTGATTTCATCCGGAAAAAAAGGCAATACAAAAGAATTTTGAAGGATAAGCAAGAAAAAGAACAAGATAAATGGGTAAATCTGCCAAAACAGGATCCAACTCTATAATTTTGGGACATCAGATAC